AGGTGGGCTGTCCTTCCTCTGCCTTTTTCTTTTCTTTTTTTCTCGCAATACTGGGGTTTGAACTCAGGGCCTACACCTCAAGCCACTCTACCAGCCCCTTTTTTGTGATGGGTTTTTTCCAAATAGGGTCTCATGAACTATTTGCCTGCGTAGCTTCAAACTGCGATCCTCCTGATCTCTGCCTTCTGAGCAGCTAGGATTACAGGCATGAGCCACTGGTGCCCAGCCACCCTCTGCATTGACATCATTTGTTCCTTGCCCCCACACACCTTGCCTCCACCTTTATTGGGGCATATCATGTGCCAGGCACTATGTGCTGAACTCATTTACCCCTCATGACATCCCTATGGACAGACACACATATTACTCCCATTTACAGAGAGGGGGAAACTGAGGCAGAGGTTAACACGGCAAATAGTGATAGACCTAGGCTAGGAATTCAGACAGTCAAACTCCAACATCCCTACTGTTAACCTCTACTGTAGTCACAGGATTGACTACAGTGACACGTGACAGTATCCAGGGTTTCGGATTTCACTGGCAGACGCGCTCACTTGGGGCTGTCCTCCAGTGCTATGGTATATGTGCATTGCATGTGCACAGCATGTGTGCAGAGCTGTGTCTAAAGGTTGCCTGTTGCATGTACGGAGCGCTCAGACCCCCACATGGGCAGCGAGTGCACACACGTACAGCACGTGTGCGCATGCGTGCCCAGGGCAGATTCTGCGAGGGGTGGAAGGCACTGCTTTGCAACAGTGAGGGCTGGGGTGTGGCTCAGTGGCAGAGCACTTGCCCAGCATGATGTGTGAGGTCCTGGGTTCTGTCCCCAGCAGAGAGAGAGAGAGAGAGAGAGAGAGAGAGAGAGAGAGAATATGAAGTATGAAGTGCTGGGGAAGGAATGGACCATTTCTTTAGAAACAGAGATACAGGCAGATATGAAGGATCACAAGTTCAAGGCCAGCCTGTGCTACTCAAAAACAAAGAAAGAAGTGGAGCTGCAGAAGCCTGGAAAGGTTGTCTGAGTGTCTGAGGATCCCTGCGTAGCTGAGAGCTTCCTTCTCTGTGTCATACTGCACACCACACGCATGGAGTGGGAACATGGGAACCAAGTGTGTACATATCCAAGTGCCCATCTATGTGTGCGTGCAGGGTACACTTGGCATATGTGTGTCAGCATCGTCCACCTACACAGGGCATTTGTGTGTGCCTTTGGATATTCTGTGTGTGACAAATACCTCTGCATGTGTGTGCATGCGTGTGCGTTTTTTCAAAGAGTGTTGTGTGTGCAGGCAGACATAACAAGGAGTGTGGGACTATGGGATGCTAATGAAGCCCCTCAGTGGTGCAGACACTGAGCTGATGGGTCGTGTGTCATGGGGTAGGGAAATGGCAAAGTAAAACGGACCTGAATTCCAGTCCTGCCTCTAACCCTACCTAGTTGTGATCTGATCCAGGTCACGTTGCTGAGTTCCTGCATCAGAAAGTAAGAACAAAAATGTTACCTGGCACAGATGAGAGGCTGGAGATTAGAACTCGGAGCCGTGAAGCACAGTAGACATTCAATGCATGCATAGTGTTTGGGAATGGGTTTGTGTGCAGAGTAGGTGTGCATGCCACGCAGGGCGTGTTCCCGGTGACCATGCGTGTCTGTGCAAGTGCAAGTGCACCCTGGGGGGTGCACGGCTGTGGGGGTGCACGGCTGTGGGGTGCACGGTGCTGTTGCTGGCGGGTAGAGGGGAGCTGGGGGTGGGCTGTGCCCCAGACCCGCGTGCTCGGTGGGGCTGGAGCTGAGGGTCCTGCCTGGGCCCGGGGGGTATCTCTGGCTGTCAGTCCTGCTGCGGGTGGGGGGGCGTCCCCTCCGACGGTGATTGAGCCCCGGCTCTCCCACCAGGCCTGCCAAAATACAGCGAGACAGGGTGTAATTACCGGCACTTACCGCGGCCATTACCCCCCTCGCCGCGGCGCGTGACACACGACCCGTCAGCTCAGCGTTTGCACCATTAAGGGGCCTCATTAGCATCCCGGCTCAGAAGCAAAATTACCCTCACTGCTCATTTCAAGATGTCATCAATTTTAATTTAGGGCCCAAAGATAGTACAATGGGAGGCCCTCCCCGGCCCGCCGCACACGGAGAGGAGCGGGTGGGGGAGGGGAGCCAGGCCGAGGGGGCAATGAGGGAGGAGAGGACAGGGACAGCGGCAGGCAGAGGGGAAGATGGATGAGCGGGGACGGAGGAGAAGCGCCATCTCCCAGCAAGGACCCCAGGCTATGGCTTCCACTGACAGGGAAAAGACCTGGGATCCAAGGGACACCAAGACACTGACCACCCTCGAGGTCACGTGGAGGCTAGGATGTCAGGAGGCCCATTGTCACCATGGAGGGCAGAACTCTTTCTTCAGTCATTCCTTTAACCCCACAGCAACCTTGGAAGGTATATTTTGCAATCCCCATTACAGATGGAGAAACTAAGGTAGAGAGAGCCCGTATTTTATTTTATTTTATTTTATTTTGGTCTAACTATGTAGTCCAGGCTGGGCTTGAACTCTCTATCCTCCTGCCTCCACCTCCTGAGTTTTGGGATTACAGGAGTGCACCACCACACCTGGCTTCAGGTTCAACCTTTAAATGTAGATCTGTTTGGCTTTACTGCTCCCTGCCTTCCTGATGTGGGAGCCTGGGACCTTGTACAATAATCTCCAGTCAACGATGGGGCGTGGTCGTGGGCAGAGGTGGCTGCCCACCTGGCTTGTCCACTGCCACTCTCAGCATGTCTGCTGTGCACAGAGACCCCATTTGTGGGGCCTTTGCACACTCTGGGTCCTGTGTCTGGAATGCTCCCCCCCATAGGCTCCTCTCTCTCCTGTCAGCTGGGTCCCTTGGTGCGCAGCTCAGCGTGGCCTCTGTCCCTGTGTCCAGTTCCACGCTGAATCTCCACTGCAGGCTTGTATGTCCGTGTTCCCCACACCAACCCTGCCCCTGGAACTAGCTCATGGAGAGTCGGATTGGCCCTTATCCATTCACACACTGGGTCAGCTTAAGTGGGTGCTCTGTGAGTGATGCCACTGCAGCCCAGCCAGTGTCCCTGCTCTCAAGTTGAGACAGGACTGTTATCTAAAAATTAAGGCCTCCCACCTCTCCCTGCATTGTTCAAATGAGTGGCTAGGGCTCCAGGGGAGCTGGACAGGGGCTCAGGAAGAGTCATTTCAGCCTGTGTCTGATGACACAAGAGCCATTTACCATGGAGGTTTGTTGAATGAATATATGACTGGGTATAGGAACAAATGAACCAATAGGTGAAGGCACCTATCTTTGGCCATACTTGGGCCCTCCGGGGATAGAAATCTTCACTAGTCATCAACAGCCTTGCAGCCATTTGACAGGACAATATTCCAGGGTGATACAGGGGCTGGGCACACCCCACACCCTGAACTGGCCACTCTCTCAGAGAGGAAACCTTGCAGGCCACCCCCTAAACCTCAGGTGGGTGAAGGGTTTTATAGAAGGCCTGGTTTGGGAGGTGGGCAAGGGTTCTTTTCAACTTCTAGTTATTTCCAGCCAGCTCTGCCTGGCTGTCCTCACTCACAGTGGGGCTCAGGCAATATCCTGCAGCTGTGGGCCTCAGTTTCCCCAAGTGTGAAGGAGGCCACAACCCAGGTCTTGGTTGTTTGGGCCACCATAGTGAAGGGTTGGTGACATGGCAGCAGGTGGAGGCCCTGGCCTGGGGGGCGCAGGCTGAGGGACAGAGCGTGGCAATCACCACACCTGCCACAGCCCTGAAGGGAAAGCAGAGTAGAAAGGGATCCCCATCCTGAGCCCTGCAACGGGTCCTCAGCTTTACAGAAGACGGATGGCTCCCTTAATCACTCTGGAAAAGAACCCCAAGCTGATAATATTATAATTAATTAATTCACTAAAAAGGTATTAAATTTCTCTCCCCCCTGTGGATATTATCTGAATTCATTGACCTTTAGAAAAATCACCCTCTAATTGTAACCAGGTCCAAAAGCATTTGCAGCCCATCCCTTCTACATTAATAAAATGTTCCTGGACTCAGCTCTGGCTGCTTAAATATTGTATAAATTCCACTGCCCCCCTTGGAAAAGAGAGAGCAAAGAAGAAAGATGAGGCTGGAGAAGACTGAGAGGGGGCGAGAGCTGGACCCTGAGACTGAAGGGGTCCTGGGAAGTGGGGTGGGAGGGACATCAAAGGGGATCTCTCCAGCAGCCCCATCTGACCTGACCAGCCAGGTGGCTTGAAGGGGCAGGACAGGGGCCCGGGTTGGAGAGCAGGTATGTTCAGGAAAGCTCCACAGCCTGAAGCAGACCCTCATCCTAGTCAACAGCCCCAAATAGTAAAGGAAAAGTCCGATATGAAATATTAGTGGTGGTGGTGGGGTCCTGCTGTCCCTTCCCCCACTGCTCCTCCAGATGGTGGGACAAATGCACTTCAAAATCCAGAACTGCTTAATGTGGAGGAGGTAGGTACCAAGGAAAAGAGAGCAGCTGGTATGGACAGACAGACACAGGAACTAGAGCTGAGGCCACAGGGCAGGAGCCAGGATGTCCTCTGCATCCTCTACCTTCCCAGCTCCATTTCCCTGGTGCCTGGCTTCCTGCCTTCATGGCAGCTATAGCCGCTTGTCCTGTCCTACCTAGCTGGCACCTCTGTCCCAGACCTCATTCCACTACACTTCAGTTCATCCACCTGGCTTTAGGGGGTTCCCTCACTAAAAGGAAGGAGCCAGACAGGCCACAACCAACTTTCCACTCTACCTTTTTTGTTTTTTGTGGTACTGGGGTTTAAACTCAGGACCTACACCTTGAGCCACGCCACCAGTCCTTTTTTGTGATGGGTTTTTTTGAGATAGGATCTCATGAACTATTTGCCCAGGGCTGGATTGGAACTATGATCCTCTTGATCTCTGCCTCCTGAGTAGCTAGGATTACAGGCATGAGCCACCAGCGCCTGGCTCCACTTGGCTTTTTTTTTTTTTTTGGCAGCACTGGGGTTTGAACTCAGGACCTCACACTTGCCAGTCAGGCACTCTACTGCATGAACTACATCAAGCCCCTCCACTTGGCTTTCTTAACAGTTCTCCCCATGGACCTCACAAACGGATGGGTGTTGCCTACCGCATTTAGCAGGAGTAAAGAATGGACAGTCATAACCGCCAGGTAGAACGCTGGGTTTTGAAAGCCAGTCTCAGATACACACTTTCTGATGGTTTGTTGAAATGCTGGAGGTCGCACCTGGACCACCCTTAACCGAACTGACAGGAGGGCAGGACTCCCAGGCTGCGTGGAAGCCACCCAGGCAGACAGCTTGGAATGTTCAACTAAGTTGGGCCTCTGTCACCCCTGCAGGCCCCGGGCAGGCTGTAGCCTGGGCCCGGGCCTGTGCACCCTCCTGTGGCCAGAACTGCACTCACACCCTACTCCTGTCCCACGTGCCTCCAGACTCAGCTGGCCAGGCTACGGGTGTTGACCAGACTGAAGTTGCCCAGGGACCAGGGACCCAGCAGTGTGTGTATGTGTGGAGGGGAGGGATCACAGGTGAAGGGTAGCAAGGTGGTCTTAAGGAGCCTCCTGAAGAAGCAAGGGGCAGCTCTTTATCACCTGAGTGCATATCCAGGGTGAAGGGCAAGGCCAAGTAGGACAGAAAGAGACTTCTCCTCAGCCTAAAAGACCCCACCTCCTCCAGTGCCCAGGTATCCGAGGCCTGGATCTCCAGGTGTCCGCCCAGCCAGAGTCCAGGCTTGCCCCAGTGGGGCTGGGAGGGGAAGTCCTCAGGGCATGACAGGTCCCAGGCAGTGAGTGAGGTGGGACCTGGAACTGGAAAGAGATGCCAGAGGCCTGGCTCAGACTCTACAAGGTCATCCACAGCTCCATCTGACCTTGAGACTAATCCTGCAGCCTCCGCCAGCCCAGCCAGTCCAGCACCATGGTGCCCACACCACCAGTCCCAGGTCCTTTTCTCCCTTCACATTAATTGCTCCACCACTGATTTGATCTCTTGTTCTGCACAGAGGCAATTGCCCTCATAGTTACTTTCATCCCGGGATTTTTTTTCTTTTTTTCCAATTAGGCCTCTTTGGCCTCTAGGGGATGTTAGAGGGGGGAAGCCATTTTAACCTCTGCCAAAAGAGACTGGAAGGTCGAGGGAAACTACCAAGGCCTTCTCCTCTCTCCCCCGCAACACTTGGGGCTCAGGCAGCCTTGTGGCGCCAAGCCCATTCCTCCATCCTGGGTGAAGTCCTAACATCCCAGAACCTTGGAGCAAAGGATTTGCCCAGTCTTCACCTCACCCAGGTCCTTGAGTCCTACCCGGCATCCTGTCCACCAAAACCAGCTCGAGTCAATGCCTTCTCCCGAACCCACAGGACACAGCCCTCATTGCTTGGAAGCCTGTCCCTCTAGGGACACTGTGTTGGAAGAGACGGGCCAGCCAGAGTGGGTCTCCCACCACACAGGGAGGAGAAGTCAGAGGGGGTCTCACTAGAACCAAGAGTGGGGGGCAGCCTAGCCAAGGTGTCCAAGGGAAGCTACTAAGAAGGGCTAACCTGGCTTGTGTGCAAAGCCTTCCTGCACCATATGTCATCACTCCTCTGTCTCAGGCCCCAGCTGGAGATGTGGACCAGCGTGACTACAGTGCCACCTTGTGGTCCCAAGGAGGCATGCTGTCTCCATCAGCATCCCCCAAATAAGGCTGCTTCTTGGGCTTCTCTCGGGACGGGGCTGAGGAGTTGGGAGGATCCAGGTAACACGTGTTTCCTCCTCTCTGTACCCACCTCCCAGCCCCCTTCAGGGAGCATGTGAAGTCTGAATCCAGGAAGGGGCTCACGGGTTCGTTCTCCTGTTCCAGCCCTAGGCTCACTCCAGAGAAAGGACAAGCAGGTACAAAGCAGTGTTTACTAAAGGCACATAGTGGGAGGTCCAGAGGGGAGCTGCCCTTCCAGCAGTGACCCCGCGCTCAACCCCAACCCAGACCTCTCTTCTGGCCACCCCAACCTCACATCACTTGGGGGAGAGCTGTTAGCACCAAAGGGAGGTGGGTGCCCCACCTGTGAAAGGAGTTATCAGGCTAGGGGACAGGCTTGTTGCCGAGCCCAAGAAAGGCAAGCCTGGGCACCTCTGGACCAGAACCTCCATGAAGGCGCTTCCTAAACCCCTCTCCCACATTGTCCTTCATGGGGGGGGCTCAGGCTCAGAAGGTGGGCTCTCCCCCACCCACCAGGACCTCTTCTCAGCCCTAGTCGGCCCCAGCCCCTCAGTTCCCAGTCATGATTCACCTCTGGGAGCCAGGCTGAGAGCCTGTTCCCATCCAGCCCCATCCACAGGGCTGCCCTCGGGGGGGGGGGGGGGGCACTGAACTGAGTGGGGGCTCCTGAGTCCACAGGCTTCCAGGCAGGCACTAAGTCCAAACAGGGGGCCAACAGGGGAGGAAGGGCAGGTGGCTACTTCACACACAAATGCAGCCTGAAGAGTGGGAGGGAGGTGCCCAGCCCTCCCAGCCCCCAGGCCTGCCCCTGTTCCCTAGCACAGGGGCAGCCGGGGTCACAGCACATCGCCTTCCTCCATGCTGAAGCTGCTCCGGCGGCTGCTGGCCTTGGAGGCCTCAGGGGACATGGTAGAGAAGAGGGGGTCAGAAGCCAGCGGTAGCAGGGAGTCATCCAGGAGCATGAGGTCCAGATCTTTCTTGGACAGGTTGGGGAATGGAGAGCTATGCTCTGGCCCCAGGGGGTCAGGGTAGCCTGTGGGCCCCTCATCGCCCCCGGCCCCAAAACTCAGGCTGTGGCTGAAGTCCAGGTGATGGAATGGGGACTGTGGCTGGGCAGGTGGGGGCAGTGGGGCCTGGGGAGGCAAAGCTGGCACTGGCTCAGGGTCAGCGACCTCAGCGCCCAGCATCAGTGCCTCCCCTGGGCCCTCTTCGCTGGGCAGCTCCTGCTTCACCACCTGCTGGGCCAGCTCCGCCATGTTCATCCCCGATGGCGAGGTGGTGGGGAGACCGTGTACTCTCGCCTGCATCTCCAGCTCCTGCGGGGGCAGAGGGAGCGCTGGGGCACACACGCATGGCACTAGCCACCAGGCCACCCCACCCTGCTGCAGCAAGTGCCCCTCCCCTGTGGAATCCAAGACCACAGGACGTCTCAGCCGGAGGAAAGCAGAGGCTAGCCGGAGTCTAGACCAGTGTTTCTTCAAACTACAAGTCGCAACTCATCAGCGGGCTGTGAAACCTCCGATTAAGTCTTGACTCGTTTTCTCTCAGCGTTTCAAATTGAAACAGACTGGTCTAGACTAGACAGGAATAGAGATGACCAGAATGCAGTGTGTCTATTAAGGATGAGTTTTCTTCCATGAAACTTCAATTTCCCACTTTGAGCAAGTCTGTGTGTGCTGGATTTTAATGTAAATCCCATTACCTGCCACAAGAAATGGAAGTTTAAAAACTGCAGTCCAATCACCCTTTGTGTAGAGGACCAGCCTCAGGTCTACAGGGGACAAGCAGCCTCAACACAGAGCCAGAACTAGAACTCAAGACTCCAGCGGTGGAGATCACTCTCCAAGCCTTGGCTCTTTAGCATGTCCCCCGTGGTGATTCCTGGTTCTACACAAAATGCACCAACTCTCTCACTTCCAGGTACACATGGGAGGTTTGCATCTTCCTGTCCCCTTGAAGTTAGGTGTACAGTGTGCTTGGCCCTGGATAAGTTAGCAGAAGTGACACATGGCACCTGAAGAGACGTATGTGGCTTTCAGAGCTAGCTCTAAATGTGCCTGACCACCAGCTTAGATCCTAGAATGAGAGTCTTGCAGAACAGAATCTGCAGCTGGTATTTGTTGCTTAAAGGAACTGGGGAGTGTTTGTTACTGAAGCGTAAAGCCCTGACTGATACATCTTTCTTCCTCATAGGCATCACCCCTGTGTCTCCAACTTCAGGACTGGAAGCCCTGCCCCTAGGCTTAGACGTCAGAACTACCCAAGAATTTCAGGTTCAGGGCCAGACCTGGATGCGGAGCCAGAGCTGCTTGTTGGTCATCTCCAGGCGCCGGGAGTGGCTCTCGAGCTCTCTGGACTTCTGCAGGTCCTTCTGCATCCTCCGGATGTAGTCAACGGAGGCCTTCAGGATGGTACCCTTGTTCCAACGCACATCCCTGCGGCCGCAGCAGGCAGTCAGAGGTGTGAGCCCAGAGGTGTAGCCATGCCCTTGCCACTGTGTGTTTCAAGAGCCTGGGCTGCCTGCCCTAGCCTGTCTGTCCCACCACCCCTGGACCTGGCCATTGGCTACATACAGAGGAGGTTGGCCTCAATTGCACAGAAGGGCCCTCCCAGGTGACTACTGTTGCTACCACGCATCTCCCCAATCCTTCCAACCAAGCAATCTGGAGCAGCCTCCTTGCTAAGACCTTCTGGTCCCAACCTAAGCCAATCCTCAACTCTCACCCCTCTCCCTCCACATCTCCTTCCCACTATGCAGTGCCTCCCAGTGTGCCTCCTCCAAGAGGCTTCCCTTGACTGCATGCAGCCTTGCTCCTCGAACAGGTCCTGAGCTCTCTGCACTTGGCAGAGGGAGGGGAACTTTTTTCTCCTCCCATCACTACCGATCCAGGGGGCTGGGGACAGATAATACCTGCCAGCCAACACCCACCCAGACTCCTCCCCCACCCCCGAAACCTGCTCACAGGTCATTGGCCTTGGGGATCAGCATTCCCAACTCCTTGATGCGGTCGTTGATGTTGAACCTCCGTCTCCTCTCAACTACGGTAACGGATTCCAGAGGGTGCCGTTAGAGGGACAGGGACCCACCTGGGAGAAGCCCCAGCCCTGAGTGGGTGCCCAGGGGCAGCCTGCAGCTTAGAGCTAAGCCCTTCTGAGAAAGAGGGGGACTGACAGACTGGGATTTTGTATGAGGAGGGAAATCTGGATGCGGGACTTACGAGTACGAGGGAGCGCCAGCCTGGCCTGAGGCCCCAGGGCCTAGGTGCCTGGGGCAAACTCCTCCCACGCCCTCAAGAACACAATCTCATCTACTGAGATTGCATGAATGTCCCTCCCAGGGGCCCCTCCCACCCCCTTCTAAAAGAACCAGTGGAAAAAGGGCAGGCACGACCCCACCCGCCATGGAGTTACACCAAGGCAAGATTGAAGGCATCTGTGAGAGAGCTGGCCAGGGTCAAGGATGCTTCTTAGGGTGGGTGCAGAGGTGGGGTGGGGGTGTCGGGGAGCTGGGTGAGAGAGGGAGGGGCCAGGCAGGACTCACTTAAATTGTGATTGTCTTTCTTCTGCCGCTCCTTGGCCAGGGCCCGGCTCTCAGCATCTGGGGGACAAGGGACAAGGAAAGAAATGCTAGGAGGGAGGAAAGGAGAAAAGGAAAGAGGAGGACAGGCCCCAGGGGCGTGAGAGGTAGGGAGGGAGAAAGAGAGGGTGGCAGTACCTGTGAGCTCTCTCTTCTGGGTGAGGTCAGCTGGGCAGGAGCTGCTGGTGACACCCACCAGGGAGGCTGTGACCTGGGGGTCACTGCTGTACACATTCAGGTGGCTGCTGGACAGGGGTAGCTGTGGGGGGAGTGGTGGATGGGGACTTGGTGAGCATTCCCTTCCCTGTGGAGAGCCCCCTCGAGGGCCCATGGTCCCCATCAGTAGCAATTCAGCCTCCAAGTCGGCAGAGTTGGAGCTGAGCAGAAGCAGCCCTGCCCCCAGGAGTTGGGCCCTCCAACCAGTGACAGAGCAGTGATGGGATTAGGCACGCTGTGGAAGCCCCAGGGAGGGGCCTAATCAATTCGGGAGTTTCTGGAAGGTTTCCTGGAGGGCATGGAACTCAAAGGAGCTGGAGCTGAGAGGCCAAGCCAGGAAGGCACTATCACAGGGGTGAAAAGATCTCAGACCAAGTCACAGGCCTAGTCAACCACAGTGTACTTTGGAACTGCTAAAGGGACCAGACAATGGTTCAACCTCCATCCCTCCTCCCTCAGCTCCTACCAGGCTAGCTGCAGATTTGGACTCAACCAGTCCTGGCCAGCCCCTGCTAAGTCACTAAGCAATGTCACTGGGGCAGTGGAGACTGATGTTGACTCTGTAACTCCCATGGCAGGAATTGGGAACTTTCCATCTATGGCATGGCGGAGGCCAGGATCAAGGCAGTACCTAGCTCTGGCCCAAGGACAAGAAGAAAGCAGCTGAGGCTCAGGACATCCGGTGGGCTCCTGCAGCTACCTTTCTTTTCTTTTCTCTTTCCTTTTTTTTCTTTTCTTTTCTTTTCTTTCTCTTCTCTCTCCTCTCTCTCTCTCTCTCTCTCTCTCTCTCTCTCTCTCTCTCTCTCTCTCTTTCTCTCTGTCTCATCTCTCTCTTTTGTTGTTCAGGGCCTACACCTTGAGCCACTCCTCCAGCCCTTTTTTTTTTTGTGAAGGATTTTTTCGAGATAGGGTCTTGAGAACTATTTGTCCAGTCTGGCTTCAAACTGTGATCTTCCTGATCTCTGCTTCCTGAGTAGCTAGGATTACAGGCGTGAGCTACTGGCGCCCTGCTCCTGCCCTCACTTTCTTGACTCTTCTCATCTTCTCACTGTCCTGTGGGTAGATGGCATCACCTCCATTTTGTAGCTAAGCAAACTGGGGCTCAATGATTGAGGCACAGGTCATAACGGAAGCCAGGTATCCTGATTCCAAGCTTAGATCCTTCCCACCTGTCACTTCACCCCAGCCTGGGAGACCCAGAGAGTGATCCGCTTCCAGGACACTGTCAGGGGAAGGGGCCTATAGTTGGCAGACAAGATCATCCCACGGAGTGAGGGACACAGTCCCTTTGCAATGTGGGCCCTGGACTTGGTAGAGGAGGGAACACAGATCCCCAGAGGAGCTCATGAACTCCAGGACTTTCTGTGGACACACTGCCAACCTGGTGGAAAGTTCTCCCCAGCTCCCCTCTGCCCCCATCCCCCCAGAAAGCCTCTGGGGACTGTGAGCCTCTCCCCGTCTGGTCTGAAGCTCCATCGTGCACACAGGCTGGGGTACATCTTTCTTCATTCACATTTCTGCTTGGCCCTGGCCCTTGTCACAGTATTAAAGGGAGGTGACACTCCTCCCTACATAATACAGCCACGGTGGGTCCTCTGTGCCACCCCCCAGCCCGGGGGTACCGTGTTGGGCATCTGCATTTCAGGATTCATGTAGCCCAGAACGTTGTCCAGACGCATGATGTTGTCAATGACATCGTCGAACTGGAAAAGAGAAAAGCTCACATGGGGAGGGCCACCTGGAGAGGGCAGCTGCTGACCTGAGGGACTACGGAGCCACCTCACCCAACCTGCTCATCAAGAAGAGGAGGAACTTGGGCCCGCAAAGGGACAAACTGTCCAGGTCCTACAGCACAGCCTAAGGCCAAGCCAGGTTCTTCCCTAGGAGTGTCCCTGCCAGAGAGGTCCTTGACACACCTACCCATGACCTGCAAGGGGCTGGGCCGTCCTGTGTGAACCCGCCCTCTCCCCAGCATAGCTTTCGCAGTAAGGATGGTGTCCCCCTCAGACTGGGGCTCCCTGAGGCCATGTCCCCCTCAGACTGGGGCTCCCTCAGGACAGGCCGTGTCCCCCTCAGACTGGGGTCCCTGGGACAGGCTGTGTCTTCCCCAGACTGGGGCTCCCTGAGGACACAGCTCTCTCCTGCCATCACACCAGGCTTCTCCAGAGTGCAGCACCTGGCACAGCGGTCCTAGCAGCAGCCCGCACCCCTCGCTCACCTCCTTCTCAGGGTTGGAGCTGATGTGCAGCATGGCCATGGGACTGTTTGGAGCACTGTTGCCAGCAGAGGTGGACAGCACATGTCCAGCCCGCACCCCAGGGGAGGCAGCAGGCGGGGGCTTCGGGGAGCCCTGCGCGGGGCTGATGTGGGCAGCGAACTTGTTCCCGTAGGTGTCAGACAGGTACTCCCGCACCTTCTGGTGCTGGGACTGCTGCAGATGGTAGGAGGTGGGGTTCTCCAGGTACGACTGCACCTGGGAGGGAGAAGGTGACAGCTGGACAGCTGGAGGTGGGGCTGGGACCCACGGCAGGGGTCGGGGAGGCAGGAGCAGGCCCTACCTTCAGCACCTCCCCAGGCACAGGTGGTGGCGACTGGAAGTGGACGGGGGTGTTGATGGCCGGGGTGGGTGGCCCCCCCAGCTGCTGCTGCTGCTGCTGCTGCTGCTGCATGTAATGCATGACGGCCTGCTGCTGCATGCGCTCCCGCTGCTCCTCCTGCTGCGTCTGCTCCCGCATGAGCTGCATGCGCAGCCCGATGCGTGACGCCATGGCAGCCGCGGGCACAGGCTCCCTGTGGACGAGCGTACACAGGTCCATGAGGCACTTGTCCTCCTCACAGCCCAAGGTCTTAGGGAGAGCCTGGCACAAGTTGCAGTCCTCCCAATGTACAGGAGAAGAAACTGAGTCCACAGAAGAGAAAGGATTTGCCCAAGGCCACTGAGCAAGCTGGTGATCAAGCTGAGCCATGAGTCCAAATTCCTGGTTCCTAGACTAGAATAGAAGATTCAGTCTTCCTTCATCCCTTGCAGTTGCCCCCTCACGCTTGGAGTCAAGCTGCCTGTCACATCTGCATCCTGACCCTGTACGATCTGGCCTCAACTACATCCTTCTCTGTTGCCACTTCTGCTGTCCCTTCCCGAACCACGCCTTCTCCAAGGACCTGGGAGCCTTCGGATGCTCAGAGTCTCCCCACCTTGCTCTACTCACAGCTCTGTGGTGCATGGATCCTGCTAACCCCGAGCTCAGTTCTTGTCCTGCCCTGCCCTCTGCTCAGAACTCTAGAGCTCCCACATCACTCAAGAAAAATCTGATGTCCTAACACAGCCAGAAGACCCTCTATGGCCTGCCAGCACCTCCTGTTCCCTCAGACATCACCGTCCTCTTCTCCCTCTTGTGCCATCTATTCTAGCCACACCTCCAGTCTTTGCAATCCCTCAAACACCCCAGGCATGCTTTCACCTCAGGGCCTTTGCACTTGCTGTTCCCTCCCCCTGGAATGCTCCTACCTTCATGGCTTACCCCTTCACCTCCAAGACTCAAATGTCACCTGCAGTGACATTCTATGGCCACTCTACTAAAATTGCAAACTCTACCTCCCCACCCCCTCATTCCCTAGGACCCCTTCCCCCTTATTTTTTTCTCCATTATCACTTATCGCCATCTTAAATACTGTGCATTTTTGCTTAGTGATTTTATTCGTTGTCTGTCCCTTACTTACTAGGAATGCAAAATCCCCTAAGGGCAGGCATCTCATCTGTTTGTTTACTGCTGTACCTTCGGCCTCTAGCCACTGGGATATGGCAGATGCTAAGTCAATGTGTGAAGAGAATGAATATTATTTCTGAACCAGGGACTGGGGACACACTGTAGTCCCTGAGTTCCCAGGGTCTACAATCCAGAAAACAAGAAAGGCAGGCTCACAGACCTTTATGGAAAGTAGCCCTATGTGGAAAGGGCCACTTCAGGGCACCTGGTGCTGCCAGGACCTGGAGGGGGCTCCCACCACCCAGAACATCAGCCCTGACATCTGTGGGACAGGTGTGGCTGAGGCCCCAAGCATAGTCTGGAAGGTAGGTGGACAAGACAGAATGAGTTCTGTGGCAGGGTTCACTCTGTCCCCAGCTCACCCAGTGACTCTGGGCAAGTCCCTTCCCCTTACTGAGCCTCCTTCTCCTTATGCTGGACCCAGTGGCTTCTCAGGTTCCTCCCAGCTGGGATGGGCTGAGGCTTTGGGAGAGGTGCAGGGCCCTGGGGGCACCCCCCAGTTCCATGAGGGTACTGGTACAGACCAGGATTTTGCAAGAGGCATAGGACAGCATGGTTAAGCAAGAGCCTTGGACAGGGCAGACGTGGGCTTAGATCCCTGTGTGGCCACTGCGTTGCTCTATGAGCTTCGGCAAGTCACTTAATCTCTCTGAGCCTCAGTTTCCTCACCTGTAAAGCTTCTACCTCAGAAGATTGGTGAGTGCATTAAATGAAAGTCATGAGTCCTGCACAGTGCATAGCACCTGGTGGGCTGAGTAGGTGAGACACAGATAAGGTCTAGCATGGTGGATGAGCTGACCTGTGTAGACAGAGCAAGAACTCTGTCCCACAGCTCTGAGCCCCAGACCTCTAGGAGTGACAAAGAAAGTGGTGATGCAGACATTGGACCAAGTCAGCCTCAGCAGAAAGTGTGGGCAAATGTTCAGTGAAAATCACTGGACCACAGAAAAGAAACACCAGGGACTAGCATTTGTGTGAACCTTTACTGTGGACCCCTAAATCTGCCCTATGAAGTGGCCTAGGGTATTATCATCTTTCCACAGAGAAGGAGAAATAGAGGCACAGGGATGGCAAGGCAGGGTCTCCAAGGGGTGGGAGGAGCCTGGCCCTGGCTTCATGACTGCTTGATCCAGGAATGGAGCCCAAGCCACATGACCCTCAACTGAGGCTCCTTCTACTACCTGGGGTGGCTTCCCAAGGAAATCTCTGTCCACCCTTGAGGCCTGAATACAAAGGGGTCCTCATCTCCCCTTCCTTCTCAGCCTCCTAGGCAATCAGTGAAGGCGGTCAACAGGGCAGCCCCACACCCAGGTGCAGAAGATACCCCTTGTCTCCCTGTCCTGCACCAGCCGCCAGCTGCAGCCGCACAGTCCCCCCCCACCCCCCCCACCCCCCCCCACCCCCGCCACCAAGGCCCTGACCTCCTACAGAGGACCAGCCCTGTCTCCACACCCACACAAGCTACCACACACACTGGCCTACAGACCCTGAGTCTGACCAGCTGCAGCCCACACACCCTCCCAGACAGCCCGGCAATACTCCCCCTAAGGACAGCGGGCCTGGCCGTGCCAGCCAACTCAGGAGGACTGGGGAGAAGGAGGCCCTTGTTCCCTGACAAAGGGCTGGGTGTCCAGCAGGGCCTGGGGGGCCAGCTGGCCCAGGAACTGTGCTGGGTTCTGCTCAACCTCTCCTTGGCTGTGTCGGCCTCAGCTGCTTCATCTGTACAATGGACGCAGGAGTCCTACCCTCGGCCCAGAGCCTCCTGGGGAGGACAGGGGAGAACTGTGAGAAGCAAGGGGTTGCACATACGCCAGGATGTGCAGGCTGTGCAGGAAGCAGACAGAGTGCTACCTTCCTACTCCCACTGCCCAGCAATCAGGGCTGCCGCTCCTCCTACAGCCAAGCTCCAGCCTTCTTCCCACCCATGCCCAGTTCCAGCCCTGACTGCTGGAAACCTGCTCTGGATGGGTGGGTATGAAGTGAAGGCAGGGTCCCCAGGGGATCCCAGGGCAGATGAGGTGGGCCAGGAGAGACCAGGGACATAATTCCCCTCCCAGCCCACCTGCTTACTCTCCAAGTTGAGGGGCCACTTGTGCTTGCAGCTTCCCCCGCATTGTCTAGACAGGAAGAATGGAGAAAAGGAACATGGGAGGTCTGGGTGCCTGACCACTCCCCTCCATCTGACCCTCTAAGCCTAGAGATGGCCGCTGTGTGCACATTCAGAAACACACAGCCCTGAGGTTAAAAAGTTTCTCCCACCCCCACACTGGGTACCACCTCCTCCTGAGGGGAGGGGTCTGTGGCCCTAAAGTTCTTACCCCTCCCATGGCATGACTGTCCCATCTGCACTCCAGCACCCACCAGCTACTTCCTGCGGCTGCATGCCCAGACCCTCTCAGCTGACTCTGCCTTAGCCCAAAGCTGAGTCGCGGCTTACTCATGGCAAATGAGATTCCAGGCCCACAGACTCTGCCCAAGGTGGCTGGGTGACGTTGGAAAGCCACTTAGCCTCTCTGTGCTCCACGTTCCTCATCTCTGTAAAATAAAGCCTTGTGGGGCCGCTGGGCGCAGAGACACGTGGAAGTAACCCTGCAGGCCCTCAGGCATTCAGCCCACTCACTAACCCACTGGTCAAGGCTTCATCCAGCCTGTGGGTGGGCTTCCCCCATCAGTCATCTCACCTTAATATTAGCAAGCTGACCAGACCTTTCCTAAGGAAAGTAGACAGGGATGGAACCAGGAGAAACCACCAGACTACACGAGTAAAAAGCCAAGAGAAAAGAAGTCCCCAGAACAGGGAAGTCTCTGGTATGGGAAAAAAAGATAGAGCCTTGAGTGGAAAGAGCAAAGTGCAGATTAAAAGGTACAGCCTGAGCCCATTCCAGCAGAAGATGGGTCTATGTGTAGAAAGGATTAGAAGTATCACACTGGGAGCTGCGTGCTTACTGAATGTTCCCCACAGGTCACAGCTGGTCACGTGCTTTTCAAGTGCCATCTATTTTCACAACAACCCTTTAAGGAGAGCACTATCATGGTCTCCATTTTTCAGGAAGGAAACCGAGGCACAGAGAGGTGAAGTGAGTTGCCCAAAGTTACATGGCTGACACACTGAAGGGTAGGGACCTGGCTCATGGTCCTGTTCTTTAATTACTATTTGGGGCTCCCCCAGCACCCTAAACTGTTCAGAGTGGTCACCTCTGGGGAGGGGAGGGGAAAGAAGGGGTAGTGAGTGGGGCTGAGTTTGGATAGTTTCTTTCCACTTATGAAGCACCTGCCTAGTCCAATGTGAACAGGTGTGGCTATTTTTTTTTTTTTTTTTTGCAGTACTGGGCCTTAACCTCAGGCCCTACACCTTGAGCCACTCCACCAGCCCTTTTTTGTGTATGATGAGTTTTTTCTAATAGGGTACGTGAACTATTTGCCGGGCTGGCTTTGAATCTCAATCCTTCCAATCTCTGTCTCCTGAGTAGATAGGATTGCAGGCATGGCACCCAGCCACTTGTCTTTGAATCCAGGACCAGCTTCTGGGGCTTGCAGGGGCCCAACCGTTTCTAATCCATGTTTAAGACGCATCTCCGAGGGGAAGGGGTCTCCCCAGCTCACCCGGCCTAGCCCAAGCCCTATCCCACTCAGTACCATAGCTCTTAGGTCAGCCCAGGAGAGGATACTGAGCAGCCACCAGAGGCAGGGAGCCAGGGTTCAAGGCCCGACACGACCCTTTGGAGAGACTCCATCTTCATGCAGTACAGTGTCTTCAAACTGCTCTTAACTGAGATAGGTCCCCTTTGTCACTTACGGGGCCTGAACTGTTCCAGGGATTCTTTTTTTTTTTTGAGACAGAATCTTGCTATGTAACCCAGGCTGGTCTTGAATTCACCATCCTCCTGCCTCAGCCTCCCGAGTGCCGGGATTACAGGCAGCCACCACCATGCCCAGCTTCCTGGATTTTTCTGCCTTGCAAGTGATCCAGTTTAAAAACTGGAGCAGGAAACTGAGAACACATATACACCATTGCCTGGGGGACTC